AACCGATTTCGATGAAACTTTGATATATGGTAGAGGACTGAAAAATAGTCGACACGTATTTTTTTATGTGCTAATACGTGGTTTAAAGGGGTGAAAGTTGCCCCTAACTTTCACCTCCGAAATCCGTTTTTTTTTATATATCTCACTTTGATGTATCTAACTTTTTTAATTTAGAAGGGATTAAGTATCAAAGTTGACGTATTTTTTATTTTTTTCTAATTTAAGGTTAAACTACCCTTAAATTAATTTTTTTATTTTCATTGAAACTAAGCGCTTTGAGTTGTCTGTATAAATGAAATTGATGTAACTAACATTGAATCTGTTCAATATACTATACACGACTAACAAAAAGCCAAGAGCATTCATTCGTGAGGCGAAGAAACTATTTAAGGGGTGGAAACTACTCGTCACGTTCACCCCCAAGAACCATTTTTTCAGTATATCTCCTTTTCTATAAAACATTTTTTCTTGAAATCAACTGAAAATTATTTGTTACCATGTCACAATGTTATAAGATATACCACGGATCCAGAGGGTTACATCTCTTATTTTTTAGAGGGGTGAAAGTATTTTTTTTTAATTTTATTCTTGCAAACTAAATGAAACTTCTTTTATTCGGAAGGACATTGAAATCTACAGGTAATGTATTTCGAATTTTCTTTTTAAATTATATATAAGAGGGTAAGCCCTTCTTCAATTAAATATATAGCTTCCTTTTAACAAATAGCTATGATAACCGCTTTGAATGAAATTTAAATCTAAAGAAGGTCTAAAATAATGAGAAATGTATATATCGTTATATGTCAATAGTACATTCAAAGCGATAAAAACTACCATCAAATTTCACTGCTAAAATCAGATTTTCATAAGATTACTCCATTTCTATAGAATATTTTATAAACCTTTAAATACACAATAACTATACGATGAAGATTGTCTAAAAAATTTCTTCTATCAAAACGAAGCTTTCTCGAATTGAAACAATATAGAAAAATTAGTTATTCGTATCATTAAACATATTGTTCTCGTCATTTGCGCTCCGAGATTAAGAGAGACAGAGAAAAAGAGAAAGCGACCGATAACAGAATACAAGGAACGACGCACGGGCAATAAGTCATCGACGTCCGCGTTCGGTCACGTTTACAGACGGAAATACGCGCGCGTCTGTTGTTTATTGCATGTCGCCAATTGCAGCGCGCATTTCTCATATCTGCGCACCACATGTCCAAATGTAGTTACTAGGCCCTTCTGGGGGGGGGGGGGGGGGTCCTCAAGAGTAGGGAGAATTTTCCGCCTATTTTTCTCGTGTCTTCCAATGATACGACGAAGAGTTCAGTTCCTTCCGGAAACCCGACAGCTCCGGTCGACTCTCTCTGCTCTCTAACGTGTATTCCGTATCTCTTAAAAGGTTGTACGCCACGCGTCCTCTTTTCATCTAAGGCAAGAGCGTGTCTGCGACACCGAGCCAAAAGAAACTGTGCGCGCTCAACTGTGTGAGTTTGTTTGTGTGCGACTGTCTCGCCAGTGTCTCGTGATCCCAGTGACGCATTACAAAGGGACTGACTACGTCAGTGGAGGACGTCCTCGTGTCACCGGGGTGCTTCCAGGTCCTTCCTGCCCATCAGTCGGCAAACCAGGTGGCATCGCAGTTTATGTGCCCAAGACGTTGGGGCTGTGGTGCGCCGATGTGTGTGTGTGTGTGTGTGTGTGTGTGTGTGTGGTAGCACCTTCCCTACCTCTACCTATGTTGGCGTCGACTGGTAAGCAAACACACGTTTTACTTTGAATGGCCATTCAACCGTGCGAATCGTACAGGCTCAGCAAGCCCTAGGTAACTTATTGTAAGCGCATCCAATATTTCTCTCTCTATTTTGTATTAATATCGTATGTCGGAGACCCCGCTGATGAGGAGTCCTAATAGCGATGCGTCGCTAATAGGAACTACCCAGGTTCCCATCCTAATTGCACTTTCTACTTTCTAATCCATTAGTTTTATTGCTGATCCTAATCCTCACTTTCTATTCCTAACTCCACTTTCTAATCCTGATTTATATCCCAAGGGCCTATAATTCATTTTTAGAAAGTGAAAACATCACCTCTAATTGTAGAAAGTGCCTGCGTCACTTTCTCCTAATAGACGCCCTCAAACGGGTATATAAGGGCTGCGTTCCCTTAAGCGGGCAGTTCTGATTTTGTACCGAAGACGAGCAGTTCAGTCTGTTGAAATAAAACCTTTTACTTAAACTCGTCGATTTACTTCTAACTCATCCGCTCCTCAATCCTACGGCCGCGTCACAAGAATTCCGCGATACGACAGTAGCTTTCTATTTTATGATTCCGTTGCACATTATTTATAGGAAATAATAACTGTAAAAAGCTCTGTAATTATTTTATCGGAACTCGAAGGCTTTTCCCCCTCTTACGACTCGGGTTTTTTATGCCGGATGAGTATCCCTTTCTTTAATAATTTCATTAAAGTCATATTTGTGTATTTTTTCATTAATTAATCCATTCCTAATTCCGAACTTATTTACTGCCACGTATTATCTCCTCGGCACCTTCAGCTTGCCCGTCCGGAGTATAATACATTGTTAATAATAATAATCGTAACATTAAATTATAGTTTATTCATGGTGCCCCGGGTGAGGATTGTGTGTTGTAGATGTTAGTCTTGATTCATTTAAAATCTGTTGTAAAATTGTGGTTTTAATTAGCAATTTAATATAATATAAAATAGAGAGAAGCTACAAGTTTATATACGTGAGTAAGTTGTATGCCAATCAGTGCGTGTAAAGTCCACCTGCGTCTTATTCTCTTCATTACAAAAATCAATTGAGCGAATCAAACGTTGATTGCCGACATAACTCGCGTTCCGTTGGACAGGCTCGCAGCTATTCAGCAATTCAAGAGCGATGAGATCGCTGCTATCGGCAGGCGCATGCGAGATCGAGCGCCTGACACTCTCAATAAAGCAATCGTGTAGACGAGCATTCGCACCATGGAAGAGCGTTGGGTGGAAATACGGAAAATGCACAATGAGATTATGCTTCGCACCGATGCGACAAGACATGTGTACGTCACAAAAAATCGCTTTGATGCGATGACTCGTGCTCGTGAGGAAACCCTGGACTGGCTGTTAATCAGGATCGTGGAGCTTCCGGATTTAAATAATGATCAGGAACGCAAAAATAACGAAGTTAACCCCCGACGCCGCGCCCGCGAAAGCGATGAGCTAGACGAGCAAACAGACAAATTGCCACGTTTAGATTTGCCTAAGTTTTCCGGTAAATAGTAGGATTGGGAGAGCTTTTCGGACGTGTTCACCACTCTTGTGCACGACGCCCCGCGCCTTGCTAATACGACTAAGCTTTAGTATTTGAAAATGTGTTTGAAAAGCTCTGCAGCTGAGTTAGTAAAGGACGTGGCCATCATTGGCATTAATTACGCGTCGACTTAGCAGGCACTTAAAGACCGGTTTTATAATCCGCGTTCATCCGTTAATAACATCCTGGAACAATTATTGGAAACATTTAGCGAAAAATTTTGTAATTTATTTTCAAAATTATTTAGAAGATTGCGATAAATCGTATTACCTTCCATGAAAGATATTCTCATTTGCATTTGCATTGATTTAATTTTGACGATAGTAGCGTTGTAAATAAGTCTATCATTTTATTTATTCACCTAGTTTTTTCAATCATGGCATTATAGTAATAGACGAGAAACTCTAAATGAAGCTTTAGAAAATTTGAATATCAATGAAAATATTTTGATGTGAAGGTCTCGAAATTTAATCCGAAATCAGTAAGAATTTTCGTCTTCAAACGCTCGGGTGTATATCATCGAAGCACTCCTACTGCACTAACAGAAGCACCTTAGACTATGCCGAGTAGCAGTGAGCCAATGGAACTATTCGGCCAACGGCTGTAGACTGCGTTATTGCGTAGTGTGTATGCAGAGCTAGCATTATTCACGTTCATGTTCATGACTTTTTTGTTTATTAATCGGTTATAACCAAACTGAATCTATACACCCTTGGAATTAAATAGAAAGTGTGTGCATAATCTGAGATCGATCCGTTCATAAACTTCAGGAGTAAATAATAATTCAAACCGGTTGATTGGGGAATAGAGGGGATTCATTCTAATAATTACTTATATTGCACGAAATATTTGAGAGAACGAAGAGCATTTATCTTAACACCGTCATTTAAACGTTTCCTTTAAAGTTATTAAATTATTTTTTTTATTAAGCACCGAATAGAAAAAATAATTTTGATTATTTTCAAAGTTATATTTACATAAATCACAATATTTTATGCACTAGTAATATAAGATTAGAACATGTATTCGTTAGCTGTATTTACTGAAGAAAGATTATAATAGAATTAAAGAACAAAATGCATACTTTCTTGAAATCACCATAACAATATTATAATATTAATTTTATTTTTTTTCCATAGCAGTAACTGTTTTTCCAATTATTTCTAAAACATAGATATGGCCAATCGTTTCTCACGCATAGTTAATTTGTTGTCCTTGTTCATAATTTATAAAGTATTACATTTCTTCATTCTCCTCATTACTTCTTATAGTCTATTTTGTATAAACCAATATATGAGTAAAACCAGAAAACTTCGAAATTGCATATAAAAATATTTATAACCTTTTTTTCATTATGCATCGGATTATTTTATTTTTGGAAAAAAGGATATTTATATGAATCCAGTAATTAATAGCATTGTTTTATGGATTATTTTAAATATACACTAAAATCTTTTATCAAATTTAATTTACATAAAATAAGTAAAAGTAGAATAAAACATCAAATTTCATAAATCAATTTATCTCACAATGCATGAAATGAGGTTGAAACCTTATAACAGATACATAAATATTATATTATAATAATTTAATTATTTTTATTGACACTTAACGATATCTAGACGGTGTAACTAAATAATCAGTGATTATAAAAATATATTTTTTTGTACATGACAGAATTACCGGTTTGGACTTACGACGGAAGTTCAACATACCAAGCTCATGGAGAGAATAGCGAGATCTTTCTATATCCTATAGCTCTATATAAGGATCCTTTTCGACGCAACAATAATATTCTTGTGCTTTGCGAAACCTATAACTTTGATCATACTCCAACTGCAACAAATAAGCGACTTAAATGTAAAGAAGCTATGGATTCCGGACCAGTGAAAATGGAGGAACCATGGTTTGGCATAGAGCAGGAGTACACGCTTATGGATTTAGATGGTAGACCATTAGGTTGGCCAAAGAATGGTTTTCCTGGACCTCAAGGACCTTACTACTGTGGCGTAGGAGCTGATCGTGTCATTGCTAGAGAAATTGTTGAGGCTCATTATCGCGCCTGTCTCTTTGCTGGTGTACCCATTTGTGGAATTAATGCAGAAGTAATGCCTTCTCAGTGGGAATACCAGGTTTATTTTCCTCATTTAAAACACTTATGAATAATTTTTTGGGCTCTTGCTTGTTCTTATTTATTGTTGGAATGTGGTAGAAATTTATTTTTATGACTGATGACAAATTTTTATTGATACTCCATTCAAGTTACATGCAATGCAATTCAAAGGGATACTGTTTGATTGCAATACATGACTACTCAAAGTATTACAGCATAGCAATTTATAGTAGTAAATCTCTAATTGCTCATGTGATAGTTTACATTTAGTAAATGATAATTTATGAACCTCATTATCCGCTTTCTTTACAATACATTGCACCGCAGTATTGTCGAATTTAAATTTACTTAATATTTCAATATTACAACATTTATTTGTTTTACAATTTTATCAAAAAAGATAAATCAGCTGAGTAAAATATATTAAAACATATACAGGGTGACCCATTTTGAAGGAACCACCCCGAAATGTTCTACGGTTGGCATTCTACAAAAAAATTGTTCAGACAAATTTATTTATTTTCAAGTTCATTTAAAGGTCAAAGTCATTTTTTGAATAGGAACCTATAATTTTGATCCTGGATTCGGAAAGAGCGAGCAATTCTACGTTCAGATAAGGTATTATGTGTGGGGTGCAGTTAACCCCCCCTCCCGCAAAAGATCATGTAGCGGTCAAATTTATTATGCACAGGGATGATCGGGCAAGGGTAAGATTAATTTTAATAACCCAATAAACCAACCCCACTAACCCCAATAACCAAATAACCAAGTGATTTTTTTAATAAGAACCCCCATTTTTTATCATGGAATCGGAAAGAGCGGGAAATTATACGTTCACGTAAGGTATTATGTGTGGGGTGCGGTTAACCCCTCCTTCTATCCCACCGGGGCAAAGGTAGGTTAATGATAATGACAATAATAGTAGTAATAATAATAATAATAATAATAATCATACAGACGATACTACCCATGAGAGTGGGTACATACGAAACGGAGACCAAGGGGGAAGTCAAGTACCTTGGGGTAACCCTCGATACGAAGATGACCTTCTGGCCTCACGTACAGAAGCCAGCTCGAAAAGCGGCAGAGAGGATAGCATCCTTGAGCCGCCTGATGGCAAACACGACGGGACCGAGACCAGAAAAGCGGCGACTGCTAATGGCGACAGCTCACTCGATCCTCTTATACGGCGCAGAAATACCTCTGAACGCAAAAGGATTTACGGGAGCAGCGTAGACATAGGACGAAAGAACGCGGCAATCGTTGAACGCGAAAGGACGATCGACATGTGGCGAGACCCATGGACAGAAGAACGAGGTAGCAAATGGACGAGACGACTGATACGGGACGTGAGACCGTGGCTCGGAAGGAATTTTGGTGATGTAAATTTTCACGTCACCCAGCTCTTGACGGGCCACGGATACTTCCGACGGTACCTCCACAATATGAACAGAGTACGAAGACCCGACTGCAAGTATTGTGGACACGAACGAGACGACGCGGAACACACGTTTTTCGGGTGCGACCGCTGGACAAGATTCAGACGAGAACTAGAGACAACAGTTGGCAACATCACCCCCGATAACATTGTAGAGGTGATGCTGCACAAACCCCAATGGTGGCGTTTAGTCGCTACCTATACGGAAACCATACTAAGACGTAAGAACGCGGACGACTGTTTGAAGGACGACTGAGCAGACGGATTGACGCGACGTAACGACGCACGGTGAAACGATACGAACGAACGAACACAGACAGAACCCCCCAGTCAGAAGTAACATCAACATAGTCCCTGGCTGGGGGAAGGACACCAAGGAGATGGCGGTTTAGTGGGTAGGCCTATTTTTTTTTTTTTTGGGGAGTCCCACATAACCCCTCAGTCAGAAAGACTAAGGGGAATCCGCAACTCCTTGTAAAAAACAAAAAAAATATAATAATAATAATAATAATAATAATAATAATGATAATACTAATGATAATAATAACACAATATCCATGATAAATAAAAGTTCGATTATCAAGGTCGTTTTTGATTTAATCATTACGTGTGTTCGTGCCAGATTTAGTAACATGAACCAATCTAACCAATGTATGCAAAGAGGGAGTGTCCAATCTATCTAGGCAAGGTGAGAATGCTGAGCCGATCAAGACAAGACTTTGGTTACCCAGCTAATGAAGGCAAGGTATTAATTACCCAGCCAATGAAGGCAAGGTGGGAATGCCCAGCCAATGAAGGCGAGGTATGGATTACCCAGCCAATGAAGGCAAGGTGGGAATGCCCAGCCAATGAAGGCGAGGTATGGATTACCCAGCCAATTAAGGCAAGGTGGGAATGCCGAGCCAATGAAGGTGAGGTATTGATTACCCAGCCAATTAAGTTAATGTGAGAATGAAGACTTAATATCGCAATTGCTGTATGATTGCTAATAACTAATCCCCCGTACTCAGTAAGAAGCATGCATGTATTAACTCGGCGAACAAAGAGCGGTGAGCGATCCGACATTGCATGTTATTGTCGCGCGCGCTTTGTAAACATAAACTCGCGGGCTGAATGTATTGTAGAGATAAGAGAAAATAAACGATCTCGCATGTGATATTGACTGTAATTTTGAAGTTATTATTTCTCGCTGGTAGAAGATTGGTTGACTGACGCCCGTTCCCTCCTGCTCCCCGGTTGATGAGTTTGAACGTTTAGACAATCCCGCGTGTTCTTCGATGCGATCGCACGCATATATAAAAAGACGGAGCATCGACCCCGTTACAGCCAATGAAGACAAGACGATGACTACAGATAGAGTTATGGTAAAGGTTGTAACACAAACATTTATGTCATAAAATGTTCAAAAATATCGCCGTTCAAATTTATGCACTGTTGAATTCTACGTTCAATGTTTTCAACTGTGTACAACAAAACGAGATGCGGAATAGTTCAACAAGCTTGTATGATGCATTGTATCATCTTGCCGTGTTGTTAGTTGCTGTGCATAAACAACACTTTTCAAATAGCCCCATAAAAAGAAATCTGGACTTGTTAGATCTGGTGATCATGGACACCACTCAGTAATGTTACTACCAATGCGTCGTCTATCGGTATCGTTGGTTCAAGAAGTGACGAACTATTAGTGAGTGATGACATGGTGTATCGTCCTGTTGAAGCTATAATCGTCGTCTTGTTTCCAAGTCCACATCTTCCAATAATTTTGGTAATTCATTCTGCAGGAAATTAAGATTTACTGCGCCGTTGACATTCCCATCGAAAAAATAAGGTCCTATCAGATAACCATTTATTATACCGCACCAAACTACGAGGCTGATTATCAACATGACGTGCCCAATGAGGGTTCTGGATAGACCAATAATGACTATTATGGCGATTGAGTTGCCCATTACTATGAAATGTAGCTTCGTCCGAAAACATTTCGTATCTGAAAAATTCAGGATCTTCACGAATCCTTGCTTGTGTTCAATTACAGAATCCGAGTCAGCGGCGGAGATCATCTGGCATCAAGCTTGAGTCAAAGTTATGTGATACGGATGAAATCTATGAAGCTGAAAAATTTTACCGGCTGTTGTTCTTGGGATTCCAGTAGGTCTCTAAATTTCACGCAAAGAAATATGATGATCCAAATCAACCATTGCCAAAACAACGAGAATTCGTGGATCATCATTGTTCTATCTCATAATGCAAAGATGATTTCTGCGTAATCGTGGTCGACGTCTCTCTCTTCGTTTAATGATTTGGATTCTCACGTAGTTTGGGTACCGAAGCCTCCCTGGGTAATTTTGACGGTCAAGGGCGATATCGTGCTTCAGCAAGATATTACCGTCCAGTTCTTGGATTAGGGGGAGGGCAAGATATTACCAGCAAGTTATTGGGTTATTACAATTAATCTTACCCTTGCCCGATCATCCCTGTGCATAGATGAAGAAAATAATAAATTTAACCCCTATATCAGTCGCGATGTCGCCGTCAAGCGGTGCGGAAGTGCAACCGCCTGACGCATCATCGCTACATAAGCATTTCAAGTGTCATCCAAATACAAAAGTAGGAGCAGTTGTGTGTTTAGTATGTGAAAATTTCTATCATACGAGTGAAATAGTAGCAAAAATCAATGCAGGAAATGCAATCAAACTAATAAACAGCTCATTCATAATATGCCAGGAGCATTCAAATTTGGCACTAACATCAAACTTGCCATATGGGGACTTAAGTGAACAAGCTAGTGCTTTCATAACACAATTCAAACTTGTAAGTAGAGAACAAATAAAACAGGAAATATTAAATGAGCTTGTGCATGAAACGCAAATTTTAAATGAAAAAGATGATCATATGGATGTAACACAGATCAATGATTTGGATGAATTACAACAATTAAAAGCCGAAAATAACCTATTGAAAGAACTATACAAAGAAACAAAAGAAAAAAATGAATTGCTCAATGAACTACTAATTAAAGAAAAACAAAATAAATTGCAAATACTAACATTATGAGAAAAACATATGCTGAAACAATTGCACTACCAAAACCTAAACCCAAAAGAATACCAAGATTAATAATAAAGAAAAAGAGTAATGATAACATAAACTTAGAAAATCAAGTAGCACATTACTTAATTAAAGACAAAAACATACAAACAAAAAGTGTACAAGTTAAAAATACTGACACAATAATTATCAACTGCATGACCGAAGAAAATGTCACAGTGTTAGAAAAAACTTTACAAAAAAAATTACCGGCACTTACTGTTCTAAAACAAGAAATATGTAAACCGATAGTTAAAGTAGTAGAAATTTCTAAAGCTTTCACAACAAATGTAAAAGATATAGAAACTGATATTAATGCAAGAAATTTGAGTCAATACGAAGAAAAATGCAAAGTAAATCATGTATTTACAAATGAAAAAAATAAAACAGTAACTGCAATAATAGAAGTTCCATCTATTCTATATAAACATATAAAAAACAATAGTAACAAATTATTTATTGGATGTAAAAACTGCAGAGTCTTTGACGTCATC